TTTTGTTGGTGCTTCGACAAGGTAAAGCTCAACCTCTCTTTTGTTCCATTTTCTCTCCGGCGTGATTACAACGTCGAGGAACCTTAGGCAAACTAAAAGTCTCCAAAACACCATCAAAGCTCCGATAACACAACTTTGTTCCAAACGGAAATCATGGCAACATACTGAAAACAACCCGACTTAATACTTCTCTAAGGTGACCTTTTTCCTTTTCAAATTTTTATGTATGTGGGTATTTATTTTTTTTAATTTGTTTGACGTGATTATTGACAAATATTTTATAATTAATATTTTAATTGGAAAAAGTTGAGTGTTACTTTTAGCATATATTATTATTTTTTGATAAATATGTGGGACTATTCTATTTTAACTTTTAATTTGAGGGTACCTTCATCACTCTTTACTGACTTGTGAATATTAATTTGAATATTTCAATATTATTTTACATGGATGGTGTGCAATTTATTTTTTTATTATTATTGTGGTTATTAATTAATTATTTAGTTTTTATTTCAACTTTCTTGTTTCATTCTCATTACTTGTATTTTTTAGCTTATTTTCATGTTTTTTTTCTTTTCGTTTGCAAGTGTTAAAATATTACTAGAAACTCAATGTTTTTCTTTTTATTTTTATTTAAACCATTAATACTATTATGGAGCTTTCCCTTTAAGAGTTTGTTTTGCCCTTTTTATTATTTTTGTGTTATTGTTATTAGTATTAGTTCTATTGGACAATGAAAAGATCGTCAGTTTGAAGGCCTCTTCAATGTTAAAATACAAAAATTTAGTCTATGTTTATATTCTTTATATGTTAAATTGGCCGATGAAGAAATTACCATTGATTTCCAAGACCTTCCATGTTCATTAGATGGATTTTTATTTTTAAGTTATTATTTGATTTATTCATATTTATTTATTAATTAAACTTTTACTAAGGGTCTTTATAGGTACACGGAGTTGCTCTCCCTTGAAGCTATTCAAATTAAGTTCGAATTATATTTATTCTTCATTATCATATATATATATATATATATATATATATATAAATGTTAGGCAAACAATATGCCATTTCTTATATTATTATTTTACGTTGTTATTTATGTATATCGCATGTTCATCATACTTGTATATTATTTTTGTCCCCTTCTCAATTTGAAAAAATAAACTTAGATGGGAACCATAGTTATGGATTTCGAAGGATTGTCTAATACCTTCCCTTCAAAATAACTTGAACCCCTAACCTAGAATCTTTAAATTTCGTAGACTACCTTTTAAATTAATTTATTAATTGGTTTCCTAGTTTTCAAAAAATTAGGGGGAGTGACTTCGTTTAAACTCATTTTACCCCCTTATTCTCTTTAAACCCTTTTAAATTTTTGTTAAAATTCTTTTTACTAGTCCTTTTAAAATTGAGTCACTGTGACGTTGCGCTCTATCAGAGGATGTCAACAGTCTAATTTCAGACTCAGACTCACACCACCTCATCATTTTTTCTAGCCCTTTCTTGAAAAGAAAATGCTCATCCCATATGTAGAACTGAGCATCATAAATCACTCTTCTTTAGGTGTGTGGTTGCACCCGGTGGAAACAATGCGCTAACCTAATAATTAACAATGTGTGCAACCATACTAGTTCGGTCATGTCTAGCAACAATAGTTGTTCATTAGGAAATTCTTCCGGAAGCTGTCCTTGCTCTCCTACACGTGAATAACTCTCCAATCTTGACAAATATTCTACAATCTTATTTTCAAATCCTCTTCGGCCCTTGATCTCTTTGTCACACTCTTGCAGCAATAGAATTGTAAGACCCACAAAATGAGTTAGGGTGTCTAGAGCCACACATGTGTGTATAAGATTTTTAACATGTTAATTATGTTTTTTAGTACGAATAAGTGATTTTAAGTAAACACATGTGTGTATAAGATTTTTAACATGTTAATTATGTTTTTTAGTACGAATAAGTGATTTTAAGTAATTATGATGTCAAACATAAAGGGACGATCAAGACGTTCGGCGACTAGTCACAAAGAGGCCTTAGATATTTTTGTGTGCTTATATGTGTTCCATTGTCTTAAGAAGTCCTTATAGGAGTAATGATTATGTTTATGGGCAGTATGTTAAGTTTCATGAAGTTTAGAGGTTAAACGTCCAAAAACGTCCAAGACATTCGAATGTTAGCCCTTGAGACGTGCATGTTGGACTTGAGTATGCCAAGCATGTTTGCATGTGTTCGAATGTTTGTTTTGGGTGAAACTGATGGATAAGGTCCTAGGCTTGTTTAAGGTTTATATTTATGTTGCAAACGTATAGGTACGAATCCCCAAGGGCCCCACAAAAGGCCTTTAAGGAGGACCCAAGGCCTGCCAAAACACTGCTTTGGGAGTGTCTACCAAAGACCTTCAATCGACGGACAGTAGGTTCACCTACGCCCCGTCGATAGTGATGCATCGATTGACACTTTTCATGTTGAAGGCTCAAGGTAGTTGTCAAGCACCAGACCCAAATGGCGGCCTGTAGTACAGTCTATCGATGGGCCTACTGGGCGTCGATAGGTCCGTTGATGCAGGCTTGAACAACTGTCATGCAAGATGCTTTCATTTAACGGGTGAATGGAAAATTCACTCAACGTGCTAACCTGACCCTAGTATGTTTATTTGATTATTTTTGGGTTTATTAAGTGGGTTATGAATGTGACAACCCCATTCCCAATCCATGAATTCGAATTAGACTTCCCTCTCCCAAAATACCCTCTCTAGAAACCTCCATTGGAGATGAAGCTCAAGAACAACTTGGATCTTATATTACCATGGGTTCTTCATCAATTTTCAGTGGTTTTCTTCTACAATGATGTATGGTGATCCTTCATCTTTAGTTAATCTTCCATCTAAACAGTTCTTCTAATTGTTTTCAAAGAGAAATACATGATTAAACTTCTCCTTCTTCAATCTGCCCATGGCTTCTTCCTCAAAATGTTTAAAAAGGCTTCCTCATGATGAATTGATGTTAACATGTTGATTGTAACGTAAATTTAAATACAATGGAATGATGAACCCATGCTCTCTTAAAACTCTCGTTTAGCCATGTATGGGATTTGTTATTCTGATTTTATGCAAATCGAATTTTGATTAAGTAATGTTAAAATGCTTATATCTACTGCATAGTATGTGTATTGATAGTGAATTATTTATGAGTGATCCATAAGGATGAAGGATTGAAGGTTTGAATAAGACTAGCTTATAATGTAGTATCTGTTGATATTGATGTTGAGGATTATAATGTGAATCAATCATGTTCAGTTAATGGTTAGATACTGCCTATGATATCATGTGATGATGAATTATGTGTTGTTGGTCCAATATGGATTTATTCTTGAAGTCCTGACCTCTATTTCCTATTGATTTCTAAAGTATGATATTCACTTTAATCTCGTCTACATAGGGTACGAATGTAGGATTTTGTTTATGTAAAGATAGTTGTAGCTACTGCCATATATGGATACTATTGATGAATTATGTGTATAAATCATGGATGATTAAAGCAGGTGAGTTTTGGTAAGGATGATCTACATTCCTTTAATTCTATAGATTGATGGTATAGTGTACTTGATATGATCGTGATCTTGTTATGGTTAAAACATTATTTTGATTATGTTACTGGACCTTTAGATACTACCCTAAATATGAATTACTGATGAAATATGGGTATTGATCCAAATGGATCAAAGGTGGATGAATTGGTAAGAATGACTCTTCCCCTCTACTTTTCTATAGAATTTGTAGTTGATGAAGCCTTGTATGGCATTGTGTGGTATGGTCCACTCATGGTGGTGGTGTTTACTTTATTTACAATATATATATGTGATGTGAACATGACCTTGAAGACAATTGTATTATGAATATATGGTGGTGATGATCACACTATGTGAAGCATATGCCTAGTTTCTTGTTCTAGCTATGATCTAGGTTATATTGATAATGTTATGACCATGTAAATGGTTAAGTTTATGGGTATATCTGCTGCCTATGATGAAGGTATTCTAATGTTTTATGTGAAATAAAGTTAATATAGGTGCATAATGACTAGAGCCTACTGTAATGATATTGTAAGTCTTGAATAAATGTGTCTTATTACATGTTATCCATTCTATGATGTTATGTGATGTATCATTCACTAGGATGACTTGATAGGTGTACTATTACGGTAAAGGGTATGTGACCTTGTCTATGCATTGCACATGTGTGCCTTGATACGATAGTTCCTAGGTTTGATTTTCTATGTACATGAATATGAATGTATGGTTATGTTATCAATGGGCATAGTCTTAATGTGTTTATATGAAAGAATTTCTCATAAAAACACTTATGCATTAATGTATGAACATGTGTGGCCTTAATTTGTTATGTAAAAGGTTTGCTCACATATAAGTATATACATACACATGTATGATGAGCTAGTCAATGGAGAGTCCTTGAAAGGTGTGCTCAAGTGTACCCTAAACTAGATAGGTGCTTGTATATGCTATGTCCATGTGAAAGGGTTTCTCACATGATTTAGGTTGATGATGTCACATCCAGGAAAACCCCATTGACGTAACCGGCGTCAGCTTCCTCTTTGAGGAGTAAGACTAGCCTCTTAACTTACATCATTACATTCATAGGTCCTATTTAGAGGAAAATTTAAAACTTCTCATTACTTCTACTTCAAGGTTTACATAGACCTCTACAGCTACAAAGTATATATATATATATATATATATATATATATATATATATATATATATATATATATGTCGAGTATACATAGACGCTTCGTATACGAAGATTAATTAGTCTTCTACTTGTATTGATCGTAAATATTTATAGAACATAACATAGTCATTATATTCATCTCATCTCATAGCCATATAATAAGAGTATATCAAATTTTTGCCTAGACCATACATCAATAAGAAGACTACATATAGGTCATACAGTAGTCTTAATACCAAAACAAATTCATAACCTTATATTGGCATCGCCCTCGGAAAGTGAGGACCTACTCTACTTGGATGATCAAGAGATCCAAGTCTTCTTAAAGTCATCTCCAAAAGCCCTTCAACGATCGAAACCTAAAATGTTGGGGGAAATTATGAAATGGGATTAGTACAACACTTGTACTAAGTATGAAACCATATGAACACATACTTAAAATCATGCAAAGAAAAGGGACTTTTCATAAAAGGTATGCAATTAAGTTTGAAAACACTTATGCATATTCAACAAGACCATACCAAATCACGTAGGCATATTCATTAAGTCATAGTCATGTACATCACAAGACCAAAAACATCAAAACTAGTCAAGCCAACATGCATATCATGTAATTGAATACATGGTCAAGTACTCTATCATCATGTCCTTATGGCAACAAGCATGAATAAGAGTTCATTATAACATAATCAAAGCAAGACAATTACCCATAATCCCTATCAAGTCAACCAGTGCAATGACAAAGCAAAGCCCCATAACCTTACTCAAGCATGTAATCCAACAAGAATCATGCCTAACTTCCTATTTCACATAGCATAGCATTTAAGAGTACATATAATCATACTTTAACAATGTAGACCAACACATATTCATAAGTTACACCAATAAACATATAGTATAAACAATGTGCAAGCTCATCATATGCATATAATGTACCATTATAAGCATATTCATACATAGTAAAAAACTCCTAAAGTTCCCTTCAAGGAAAACTAGTGCAAGGCATAGGTAGAGTCCCATACCCCTACCTATGCTTAGTCAACCTCTCAAGTAAACTTAGTTTGTACTTCATTAATTAATTTTATTTTAGGGAACACTTGCCTTAACTGACATATACCACAAGAGCTAACTATGGAATCCGGTGTTGTGAAACCTTACACCGAAAGAAGGTGGTCTATCGGTCAAAGTAAAACAAAACATAAACGTACCTCTCTAGGTGGATCAACTAGCTAGTCTTATTATGGGGGCAACATAGTTCAAGAACTAAGAGATAGGTATAATCTCTCTGCATACCACTTGACAATTGGTGCCTCCTTTCAAAGGAATCCATTAAATGAGTATCCTCATTGGGGACTAAACACCACATATGGAACTATAGGGTTAATCTTCCTCTATGGAAAGACATCACCTCCCATTGTCAAGTTCATTCGGTGCTATGCTAAGTCCCTTTTTGAAATTTCTTTAATGTCTTTATTAATCATCGTGCAAATTGTAGGTAATAGGGTCTAGCCGTTGTATATTCATCATCATCATAGCTCAATAAGAATTGCATGAGTATAGTTCTTTTATTAAAATTCATATAAGTGAGGTTAGCACATTTACATATTACTTCATAATAAGACAAATTGATAAATCATTCACCATCCTTATAAAATTTACATCTTAAGTCAACATTTCACAAATAATAGTAAAGACATTTCAATTCAACATCATACATCTTATCAATCCTAATACAAGGTATACTCCAATACAACATCATGACTTAATTACAATTAACCACAATTTTAAGTAAAGGATAAGGACACAAGACTTACCAAGTCTTCTTAATAATCCATCATCAAGGTCTTACCATAAACCCTTAATTCACCGCAATTAGGGTATAACATAATCATAATTTAATAACAAACATGATAAGTCAATTGAATCACTATATCAAAATTCATCACTAGTTCATAGCTTATGATACGATACTTGGGTCAATTCACAACATACTTCTTAACCTAGAACAAAGTCTAAGAAGTAGCATGATAGGTCTGTAATAATCCTAATTTAGTCATAATTGATAAATAGGAATCATCTAGTAGTAATTCAACCAATAACCAATTCAATTGAACCAATACAATACAATTGATATCAAGATCACAACCTAGGGTTATGGGTTAAAGGTCATCTTCTACAAAATAGACAAAACCATCAAGATATATCAAAATTATGTTAGAATACGTGTTTATATATTCATAATATCCAAAATAAATCATAAACAAATCAATTCATAACCTTAATTTCGAGATTGGATGAAACTCACTTTAAAACCCAATTTTTTGAAATAAATTGATGGAACCCTTTGAGGAAAGAAGTCTCAAAGGTGAAATAGATACCATCCCTTTTAAATTGATGAATATTTATGGTAAACTCTTTTAAGTGGTGATAATACCTCCCCTATGTTGGTCTTCAATGGTGTTCTTCATTAGAGAGAGAAAAAAGAGAGAAGGAAGAGAGTTGGGTTTGTGAGTTATGAGAGTTTAGATTAGTCTAATGAGATTGTGGTCTTTATATGGGGTGTTAATTAATTTAATTATTCTTACCTTAACCCCCAACTAACAACCTAAACCCTTAATTAATTAATTAGAACAAGCTAAAAACATGCAGAAAATTCATGCCCTCATAGACGAAACCTCAACCAACGGTCCGTCTGTGAGTCGACGACTCCTGGCCCCCCCATTCCGTGCCACACTTCGTCGATCAGCTCAGAGACCTACCAAAACAGGTCCTTCAGGGATTTGGCTAAGTGTTGGTTGATGGATGGCATCAACGCCCGGTCCTTGGGGAGTCTTACCCGGACGTTTCAACTGTGAATCAACTTAAACACATGTTAGACACACTTCCACCAATTTTTATCATTTTCGACTTCAAAAATCTAGTCAAGTAGGCTAAGGCATGCGAGCACCTCATTGAACTAGTTTCCAAATGTCATGGACGTTCTCCGACGTTTTGATTCTACAATTCCTAAATGACTTATATTCATCATAATGAACCTTAAAATAGTGTCTAAACATTATGACATTTATGTTAAGATCTAGTACACATCTTGGATTTTCTAAGTGTTACATTATTCCCCTTTAGGAACATTTGTCCCCGATTGACACTAAAAATCTTTTTGAAGGAACGAATAGACTCAAGACTAGCAGCCCAACCAACAACAATACATAGCAACATTAGTTACAACACCAATAGTACCATTTACACAAGGAAATTCAAAAATTTCAATTTCCCTATATAAGGCTCAACATTACATTATGAAGAACATCATTCTCAAAACAACAAGAGATCAACATAGCATTCAACTTACCAACATGCTACATATCATCTCATAAATAATCACCATATCGAAATGCACAACATGACTCAAGAAAAAATACAATTTCAAATTGTTCAAGTCAAAATGCACATTCACTATAATTCAATATAACTACATCAAAAATGCACATTTTTGCAAAACTTCAACAAAAATCAAGAAACTTCAACTTCTACTCATTAATTTCATTATTAATAAAAACAACTAACCTTAGTTAACAAATAGAGGAAGGTAAAAAGACTTCATGTCGGACTCGGCCACCCATGTTGCACCCTCAACTAAGTTATTCCTCAATTTCTTTACTTGTCTATCAAGGATTTGAACAAAAAATTCCTCATAAGAGAGGTTATCCTTCACACCAAGACCATAAATAGGAAGAATTGACTCGAGATCATTGATACAATAAACATGGAAACATGGAAAACTGATGAACCGAAGCTAATTCACTAGGAAACCTTAACTCATAGGCAACCTTACCAACCATTTGCAAGATTTCATAGGTACCCACATAAAGAGGACTCAACATCCCTTTCTTGCCAAATCTAACTACCCCTTTCATAGGCAAAATTCTCAAATACACCTTATCATCTTCTTGAAACTGTAAATCCTTTCTTCTGTGATCAGCGTAAGACTTTTGCCTACTATAGGCCATTTGTAACCGGTTCCTTATGATATGAAATTTCTCCAAAGACTTATAAATCAAATTGGCACCATGAAATGGAGGTTCACCCACTTTAAACCATCCAATAGGAAACCTACACCTTCTACCATACAAGGCTTCATAAGGGGCTATTGATATGGGCGAATGAAAACTATTATATAAGCAAACTACACCTAAGACAAATGCTTATCCCAATTTCCTTTGAAATCAATAATACAAGCCCTAAGCATATCCTCAAGGGTTTGAATAGTGCACTCCGCTTGACCATCCATTTGGGGATGAAATGTGGTGCTTAATTTCACCTAAGTACCCAACCCTTCTTGTAATTACCTCTAATACCTAGATGTTAATTGTGCACCCTGATCAAATATGATGGATAACGGAATACCATGGCGACACACAATCTCATCTATGAATATTCTTGCATAATCTGCCGCCGAATAAGTAGATTTGATGGGAATAAAATGAGCAGACTTGGTCAACCTATCCACAATCACCCATATAGAGTCATATTTCTTTTGAGTCCGAGGCAAACCTACTACAAAATCGATATAATGTCTTCCCACTTCCAAGTAGGAACTTTGATTTCTTATAGTAAACAGTGGGCTTTTGGTGTTTGGCCTTAACTTGTGGAAAATATGGACAATTAGCGACAAACTCCGCTATCACTTTTCAAACCTTCCCACCAAAACACTTCCCTAAGGTCATGTACATCTTTATCGAACCTTGATGAATGGAGTAACGGAACCCATGGGCTTCCTCAAGATCTAGTTCCTCAACTCATCTACGTTGGGAACACACAATCTTCCATGATACTTTAAGACACCATCCCCCCCCAAGGAGAATGACTCATTAAGCTTACCAAGAATTGATTCCTTCAACTTCATCAATGATTGATCAAGGTGTTTTTTTTATTTAACCTCAACTACCAAAGATGACTCGGAGTTATGATGGACCATGAATCCACCTTTCGGAGAACCTTCCAACCTCACACCCAATCTACCCAACCTATGAACATCTCTTACTAAGTCTTTCTTGGCTTCCTCCATGTGAGACACACTACCAATTGTCATATGACTTAGAGCATCCGCAGCCACGTTGGCCTTGCTAGGGTGATAGAGAACCCTCATGTTGTAATCTTTCAACAATTCTAACCACCTTCTTTGTTGGAGATTCAACTCCTTTTAGGTAAACACATATTGGAGACTCTTCTTGTCGGTATATACATCAACATGGACACCGTACAAGTAATGCCTCCATATTTTTATGGCAAATATCACGACCGCTAATTCAAGATCATGAGTTGGGTAGTTTCTCTCATGTACCTTATGTTACTTAGAATCATAGGATATTAACTTCCCATGTTTCATAAGCACACACCCTCAACCCACTCAGGATGTTACAATACACAATGAAACCATTTTTACCCTCCGGTAAGGTCAACACCGTAGCGAAGTAAGCCTTTCAAATTTTGGAAGCTTCTCTCACATACCTCCGACCACTCAAATTTCTTACTCTTTTGGGTCAAAGTAGTCAAGGGAATTGCAATGGATGCAAAACCATCCACAAACCTACGATAATAACCTGCTAGACCCAAGAATCTCCTATTGTCAATTAGAGCCAATTGTCTTGGCCAATTTTTCACCTCCATTTTCCTTGGATCAACCTCAACTCCCTCTCTAAAGATGATATGACTAATAAATTCCACCGACCTAAACCAAAACACACATTTGCTATACTTCGCAAATAAATGATTCTCCTTAAGCATTTTTGACACTACCCTCGAATGGTCCATGTGATCACCCTAATTTTAAATATATACCAAGATGTCGTCAATAAAGACAATGACAAATAAATCTATTTAACTTCGAAACACCCTATTCATGAGATCCATAAACGTTGCCGGGGCATTCGTGAGACCAAAAAACATTACTAAGAACTCATAGTGACCATATCTAGTCTTAAAATCCCATCTTTGGTATATCCTAGCCTCTCACCCTAAGTTGATTATACCCCGATCTCAAGTCAATCTTAGAAAAGTAGCTTGACCCTTGGATTTTATCAAACAAGTTATCAATTCCAGGGAGAGGAGACTTGTTCTTAGTAGTGACTTTATTGAGTTGGAGGTAATCAGTGCACATACTAAGGGACCCATCCTTCTTCTTCATAAACAAGACCGGGGCACCCTATGGAAAAATACTAGGTCTAATGAAGCACTTGTCTATTAAATATTATAGTTGAGCCTTCAACACTTTCAAATCGGCCAGAGCCATATGATAAGAAGGAGTTGGATGGGATTTGTATCCAGTAACAAATCAATACCAAAATCAATTTCCCATTTGGGAGGAATACAAGGAAGATCATTAGGAAAAAGTCTCCAGAAATTCCCTCACTGCGGGTACCAACTCAATGGGAAGAATTTAGGATTCTAAATCTTGGACTCTTAATATGTGGTATAAACACCCTTTTGAGATCATTTTTCATGCTTTCAAAAAAGAGATGTTACGACCTATAGGAATAGAATTTCCCCCCTTCCGCTCTAAAATGGGCTCATTTGGAAAGTTAAACTTCACCACACTAGTTCTACAATATATAGAGGCAAAGCAAACATTCAACCAATCCATACCCAAAATGACATTAAAAAATCAATAATATAAAGTTCTACTAGCTCAAAATAAGAAACTCTAGTGCACAAAATTATAGGACAATTTCTATACACCCTTTTGCAACTACCGATTCACCCACCGGGGTAGACATTATAAAAGGTTCATGCAAGAAATAGAGTAAAATGTCAAACTTTTTAGCTACTAGAGGGGTAACAAATGATAAAGTAGCACCAGGATCAAGTAAAGCATATACACCAATAGATAAGACTTTCAACATATCAGCCACCACATCGGGAGAAGTATCTTTCTCACCCCTAGAGCGGAGAGCATACATGCGATTATTCTTTGGAGCCTTATTGGAAGCACTTGCTTGAGCTTGACCACTACCCTTGTCTTGACCCTTCCCATTAGGGCAATCTCTAACCTGGTGGCCACTCTTTCCACAACCAAAACAAATTCCTGTTCCAACTAGACATTCACCTTGATGACCCTTTCCACACTTGGCACAAGTAGGCTTCTTGTTCGGTGAATTAGTACCCTTTCCCTATATAGGTTTAGGGTTAGACACCCTATAATCCCTAGCCCTAGGAAACTTTGAAGGAACTTGATTAGACACCCGCTTCTTGAACCTAGGCTTGTCTTGAATCTCAATCCTTCCTTTTGAAGAGCCAGCATCAAAAGATCTTGCCCTCTTGGCATCTCTACTTTTCCTCTTAGCCCTTTGCTCTTCCACTTATTTAGTATGAACCATTAGACGAGAAATGTTCAAATTGACATGTATCATAGCCGAATGACACTCCTCTTGCAAGTCATTTGACACCCCCCATCACAAAGCGGTTCATTTCATCTCTAGGGTCGGAAACCAAAGAAGGAGCATATTTTGACAATTGAGTAAATTTCAAAGAGTATTCAAGAACACTCAAACCTCCTTGATAGAGGTTAATTAAATCTACCACCTTGGATTCCCTCTTTTCGCTAGGAAAGAACCTAGCAAGAAAAACCTTCTTAAAAGCTTCTCAGGTCACCGGTCCACCCCTTAATGGCCTATTGTCCCTCCATTAGACATACCAAGTTTGAGCCACATTTTTGAGTCAGTAAGTGGATAAATCGTCCTTCTCACTAGTAGACAATATCATAGCATATAGGATCTTATAAACCTTATCAATAAACTCTTGGGGGTCTTCTTCAACCTTGGACCCATAGAAAGTAGGGGGATTCATCCTAGTGAAATCCCTTAGATGAGAGGCCATGGTAGCAACTTATTGGTGTGCTCGGGGTACAACCTCCCAATTAGCTTGCGTCGTCATGCTTGATCTTGAGTAGTGGAGGCTTTTTCTTGGGTAGTAATTTCTTGGGCCATTTGTAAGAGAGCGGCTCTTATGTTCTCATCCGTCAAAGGAGGAGGATTCATCGGGGCTTAGTCATCATTGACATCTTCCTCATGTGCAGGAACTTGATCACCACGGGGATGAACCATATTTTTTCGAGTATTCATTGCCTATAATCACAATATGAGGATTACGTGCAAACGCACATAAAGTTAACACTCCAATGACACGATATTGGAATTCCTAGAAAGTGAGAGTTTTCTAAGCATCTCATAGATTCATATTCATAAGGGTGGCACGCTTCACAATTATGAATACAAACCTATATAGACGTGGTTGAGAGACATCGACGCAAAGATATTTAACCTCATGCTATGATACAAAGTTTTTCACATCCGGGAAAAGCCCCTAGACGTAAATGGCATCCTCGTCCTCTTTGAGGACTAAGACTAGCCTCTTAGATTACATCATTACATTCATAGGTAAGGTTTAGGAGAAAATTTAAAATTGTTCATTACTTTTACTTGGAGGTTTACATATATTTTTACATACACATAGTATATGTATGTCTATTATACATAGACCCTTCGTATAGGAAAATTACTTAGTCTTCTACTTCTATTGCACAAATATATATAGAACATAACATAGTCATAATAGTCATCTCATCTCATAGCCATATAATAAGAGTATATCAAATATGGGCCTAGCCTATACATCAATAACAAGACCACATATAGGTCATACAGTTAGTACTCATGAAAGGAAAGAAACATAAGAGTAGTCTTAATACTAAAACAAATTCATAACCTGATATTAGCATAGCCCTCGAAAAGTGAAGACCTACCCTACTTGGATGATCAAGAGATCTAAGTCTTCTTAAAGTAATCTCCAAAAGACCTACAACGATCAGAACCTAAAATGTTGGGGAAATTAAGAAATAGGATTAGTACAACACTTGTACTAAGTATGAGACCATATGAACACATACTTTAAATCATGCAAAGAAAAGGGACTTTTCATAAAAGGCATGCAATTTACTTTGAAAACACTTATGCATATTCAACAAGAGCATACCAAATCACGTATGCATATTCATTAAGTCATAGGCATGTATATCACAAGACCAAAAATACCAAAAGTAGTCAAGTCAACATGCATATCATGTAATTGAATACATGATCAAGTACTCTATCATCAAGTCATAATAGCAACAAGCATGAATAATAGTTCATTATAACATAATAAAAGCAAGGCATTTAACCATAATCCCTATCAAGTCAACAAGTGCAATGACCAAGCAAAGCCCCATTACCTTACTCAATCAAGTAACCCGACAAGAATCATGACTAACTTCCAACTTCACAAAGCATAGCATTTAAGAGTACATATAATCATAATTTAACAATGTATACCAACACATATTCATAAGTTACACCAATCAACATATAGTATAAATAATGTGCAAGCTCATCATATACATATAATGTACAATTATAAGCATATTAATACATAGTAAAAACCTCCTAAAGTTCCCTTCAAGGCAAAATAATGCAAGGCATAGGTAGAGTCTTATACCCCTACCTATGCTAAGTCAACCTCTCAAGTAACCTTAGTTTGTACTTCATTAATAAATTTTATTTTAGGGAACACTTGCCTTAATCGACATATACCACAAGAGCTAACTATGGAATCCGGTGTTGTGAAATCTTACATCGAAGGAAGGTGGTCTATCGGTCAAAGTAAAACCAAACATAAAAGTACCTTTCTAGGTGGATCAACTAGCTAGTCTTCTTATGGGGGCAACATAGTTCAAGACCTAAGAGATAGGTATAATCTCTCTGCATACCACTTGACAATTGGTGCCTCCTCTCACGGGAATCCTTTGGATGAGTATCCTCATTTTGGAGTCAACACCACATATAGAACTATAGGGTGAATCTTCCTCTATGGAAAGCCATCACCTCCCATTGTCAAGTTAAATCGGTGCTAAGTTAAATTATTTTTTGAAATGTATTAATGTTTTTACAAATCATCATAGTTATTATAGTTCATAGGGTATAACCCTTTTATATTCATCATCATCATAGCTCAATAAGAATTTCATAAGTATAATCCTTTCATTACAGTTTATATAAGTGAGGTTAAGATATTTAGATATTTCTTCATAATACAGCACATTGGTAATCATTCACCATCTTTATAACATTTACATCTTGAGGCAACACCTCACAAATCATAGTCAAGACATTTTAATTCAACATGATACCCTCCTATAAATCCAAATACAAGGCATACTCCAATACAACAACATGACTTAATTACAATTAACCACAACTTGAAGTAAAGGATAGGGATGACAAGACTTACCAAGTCTCCTTAATAATTCATCATCAAGGTCTTACCATAAACCCTTAATTCACCCCAATTAGGGTAGAACGTCATCATAATTCAAAAACCAACATGATAACAAAGTCGATTGAATCACTATATCACAATTCATCACTAGTTCATAGCTTAAGATAAGATGGCCTCATTATTTCTTTGGGAACTTTAACCTTAACAAACATAGATCATGTAAGTATCATGAAATCCAGTGTCTGTCCCACACCAAAAAGAGGTTGAATCAGCGTCCAAAGTGACCCGAACATGATAGCATATATAGGGAGTCAAACTCCGCTAGATCCCTATATTGGCAGTATAGGTTCAAAGACTAGGATATATAAGGAGACCCATACCCGACATAACAGACAGTCTCATGTAATAAGAGTTACATGAACCTCATCCCTTCTCGAAGGAAGGCATCACCGCTCATTGCTAGCCTATCGGTGCTCAGTATAAAGTTCCATTACATTCAACTCATACATCATGGAACCTAGCTTCTAGCATGAGGGCATAATTTTTCATTAGATGATTTCTCATCTCATCATTAGTATTAAGTGTGAATTGTCCTTACACTTATATATAGTGTATGATTGAGACTTGTCTCTTGATTCTCAACACTCTCTAAGGTGAGTACTTTTAGTGACCTTTACTTAGGTTTGGTTGAGACTTGTATCACCATTCATCTTAGCCTCTTATTATGTTTTCATAATTTTCATTATCATCATAGATTAACATAATCACTCACTCATTACATGAATATTCATTTCTTCTTTATCTTTAGTGTTGACTCAAGCATTATTGAGGCTTGCTTCTAGATTAAGATTTACTTACTATATTTATGACTGGTCATCCTTACTTTACATTGATGAATTGTGAATTTTCCTTACATATCATCCTTTGGTGTTAATGAAACTGGATCACACATTCTAACACCTTCTACGTGAGTATTCATTAAACATAGAAGCTTAGGTGTAAGTGAGACTTGTCTCACTTCCTTTAACACCACATTCTGGACACTTACTTACTCTATTGATGACTGGTCATCCTTACTTTACATTGATGAAATATGAATTTTCCTTACTTATCATCCTTTGGTGTGAATGAGACTAGCTCACACATTTTAACACCTTCATACGTGAGTATTCTTTTAAGATAGTAACTTAGGTGTAAGTGAGACTTGTCTCACTTCCTTTAACACTCCATTCTGGTAACTTACTTACTATATACCCCTTTAATTATGTTGTAACTCGTGTTACTTACTTACTTTAGTGTAGTAGATTCATATCATCGTTTATGGACGATGAGCACTTCATTCAATGAGTTTCATGAGTTCATATGTCATTCATTTAGAGCATGTTGGGAGTTGTCCCAATCAGTGGCATGCCCTTGGTTATGGATTCATTGAATTACTTTAGAAGTAATTATAATATATTTGATACTCTTACTACACAAGATTGACATATGATTAGTATTGGCATAAACATTTGGGTATAGATTACATAACCATCTTTGTTGGCATAGGCCAATTTTACATTCTTTCATGCTTGGTTGGATATGTACATTATTCATTAGCCAATCTTTTAATTATTTCACATAATATTATAGCCATTTGCATGCATCCCTTTTGAACAATGTATTTTTAGCCATTTTATTGGCATAAGCCAAACAATCACTCAAATTATGATTTTATGGAGATCTTTTTGGTCAACCTTATAACATTAATTTAGGCATAACGTTTTTAAATATCTTGAACAGAATAATATGATATTTTAACGAACACAACATCACCAACAAGTCACATTTATAGTCATTATGCACAAGAAACAGTAATCATCTTCATACATAACAGTTTTGGACACATCTTAACATAGTATCATTCTCTTAACCAATCTTGGTCCAAGACTTTAAGGTAACATTTGTAAGACATATTGGACAGCATCAAATTAGTATTTGATGAATTTAATACCTTCATAACGTCACAATAACAGCAATGCAACATTCGTACAAACACATCAACATTTGAAACAATTACGAGTGTAACTAACACATCGTCGTTTCATGATTCATGTTTTAAGCACTTAACTTTATATGATCACAACATCATAGGTTAATCAATATTCATAATTCAAGAAAATTAAACATAAGATCATACAGCACCACATACCAACAATATGATATCTAACCCATTCAACATGGAATCGAAAAGGATAATAGGGACAAAGGAGTTCGACGAGAACACGGGAACAACCCTATATTTTCAGGATCTTTGAATTGTTGGAAAGAGATTACTCTTGGTAAAGAATTATAGGATATAGACCCATACCTTATGTAAAACTTAATCTACGAATACCACCTTGAACGAAACCTTGAAGAAACCTTGAAATCGCCCTAGAGAAATTGATAAATTGTTTTGCCTTTTTCTTGCAGTCGTTGCTTACTCTTTTTGCGTCCTTTTTGTCTATGAGTTTGAAGTTATTTTTAGGTTTGAGAACTGATCTTGACTCATTCAAATTAGGTTTCAATAGTTTAATTAAATAAATTAATTAACTAATTACTAAAAAGCCCCTCCTAGATTGACTAGAACTAGGAAAACACATTACTTGGTCAAATCTGAAATTTTTTCTAATAAATTTATTTTCCTCCCTTAATTTAATTAATTAAATGTCTAATTTAATTAAATAAGGTACCTAGGGTAACTATTAAAGTGCCCCTAAATCATTGGAACAAAAGTTAACCCTTTTGGACCATCCTAGGTTAAGTACTAGGATGTTTCTTAAGTTGTACTAGATTAGTGTAAGATTTTGGTTTGACTCCTTTAATTTAATTAACTAAATGTTTAACTTAATTATTTAAGTGACATATTATAATTTCTATAGTACCATTAAGTCGTAATAACCATACCTAATCCTTTGAACCATCCTAGGTCATGTACTAGGTTGTCTTTTTCTTGTTTTAACCAAAATCTGGATAATGCTTTGTGATTTATGTTTTCCCCTTTAAATTATTTAATTAAGTTACTAAATTATTAAATTAATTAGACTAGTGTAATTAATAAATTACCCTTAAGTTGTTAGGATCTTAACTAACTCTTTGGACTATCCTAGGTTAGGTTCTAGGTTTTCCCTTTCTTGTCTTAATCGAAATATGAAAAATTTCCTTTTTATTTTCGTTTTAGACCTTTTAAATTAGTTAATTAATTTTCCAAATTAATTAATTAGGTAACCTTGGGGAATTACTAAACTACCCCTAAGTTGTTAGGACCATAACTAACCTTTTGCACCATCTTACATTATGTACTAGGTTGTCTCTTTAACTAGTACTAGGTTAGTGTCAACCCGATTTTGGTCCTAGGTTGTTGGGTGCACTAATGGATCCAATTCGGATAGTCCTAGGTTATTTAGTAATTTAGGGAAGTAGTTTAAAGTCTAGAATTGTTAGGAAGGTTAGGCCCCACGTGGAATGGTCCCTTATGCACGTTTTCCCCTTAACTACCCTAACCAAATTTTATTAGGGTGGTCCCCTCCTT